TGGTGACCCAGATAATGATGGAGGTGTGGAAGCACCAGCAATTAGTTGTAGGACTTGACAACTATGAGACAACTAAGTAAGAGGTGCAAGATAATTGGTTAAACAGGTAGAAGGTAGCTACCCAAGCCTCCTTAATGGCATAGGGAAGTCGGATATACCCTTACGAGGGATAAGTTGCTTATGTTGCGATATAGTAAGTCAATGTCATAAAAGGAAATACTTATTGTCAAAGAAGCCACCATTGGGACACTTGAACACTCTAGAACACCAAGAGGTGGTGTTTGATGTCGCGAGGGCATTAGATAAGGCCCAAAGGACTAGGTCCCTAGCAAATGATGGATAGAAGATGCTATCCAAATGTCCAAGGTGGTGGAGACAGGAGAAGACCATCTACTCGAATTGGACAAAGCCAAAAATGGAATTTTGGCAAGGCTAGTGATGGGCATGTAAAGGCCCATAAGCAACAACGTAATCCCGGTGTGTGGGATTATAGGGTGAGCATACCTGGATTGAGGAACCACTCCCTAGGCTATCGGGTAGGTTCATCCCTAAGAATACTTGCTAATGCATAATAGAAAGTGCAAAGCTATCCTCCTGGTCTGGAGGAGAATGACCGAAGGAAAGGTGTGAAGCCAAAAGTAAGAAGTAAGGGGATAGAACCGAACCATATGAATCAAAGGGCATAACTAAGGTTGGTTATGCCAGCTGGGAGTGGAGAATCAAGTGGGGGCTTGAGGGTGTTGTCGCTAGCAACCGTGATACCATGAAGAGTCTAAAATATGGAATTGTCCATGTTAGACTATATGGTAATTGGAATTGCAAAAAGGGAGGCCTTAGCAAGCTAAGGGACAGAGTTCCTTCAAGGTTCCCAAAGACGATTCTAGGTAGCTTAGTACCTAGAAAGGCCAAGCGTAATGGTTCAAGGAATGCGCAAAATCAGAGTGGCGCAGCAGAAGCGTGGTCTTGAAGCTTGCCATGAGGCAAGGCTATCAAGGTTAGGGAAGTAGTTCCCGAGTGTTCAAAGAGAGGGCTTTGAACAAAAGTCGATGATCAAGGGCTTTCACGCTTGTGCAGGAACCATGTTACTATGGTCGGAGGACTTGCCAATCGAGATTGGCAAGTTAGGGGAACAAATACCCTAGTTGAAGGTGATAACTTCAAAAAGGGTGGGCCATGGGGCCAAGCATGGAGGAGTCCATGCATGATCACAGACTTGTCAAGTGAGAGGACTTGGCAGGGTGGAGGAACTAGGTTTCTAAATTGTGATCTATAGCACGCTTTGAGTATAAGTTGGTGCACCGGCGTGGGGAGTCACGCCAGGCATCTATGGTGATGCCGTCCGTAGATGCATATACGGAGGTTGGGTTCGAGTCCCGACCCTCTAGTGCTTGGGTTCGAGTCCCAAATCACTAGGGCGTGGTGATGGTTTGGAATATGAGGACACTCATATTTCGGTGGTCATGGACTCTTAGTGAGGAGACTGGTTTGGGCACACCGCCAAGCGAGGGATGCCTCGGAGTCGTGATGCACGGTTAGATTGCTTAGAGTGAAAGCTCGGCATATCTAACTTGAACACTTTGGTGCAAAGGGCACCAAGGACGTGGTGGATGAGATGGGGACACCCAAGTCTCAGTTGCTATGGATCCTTGGCCGAAAGGGCTGGCTTGGGCGCACCACCGAGTGTGGGGGATGCTCCCGGGGTCATAGTCAACAGCTTAGAAGGGTCTAGAAGACCTAGTTCCTATTGATAGATCTATTAAGGGGTCAAGATGAGATCACTAGGTGATCTTGTGGCTAAACAAGGACAAAGTCTTTGTTTGGGTTAAGGAATATGATTCTTAGTTCAAAGTGTTGATTTGAACTATTGATAAAGGTGTGGCTTGGTCGAGGTGACCAAGTGGGAAGAACACTCAAGGGAAATGAGCTATGTCAATGCTATAGCATAGTAAGTCCAAGGAAAGTAGTCTCTATAAGAGATCCAAGGGAGGGTCTCAAAAAGTTGGGCCGTGGATAGGGCCCACGACAGAAAATGTTAAAGAGACGTACTAGGGGTGAACACAAAGCAGGTTGACTTTGGACTTGGCAAAGCAAAGTGTTTGCTATAGAACTGAAAGGAAACCTCAAAAATGGAGGTAGCGATCCTATGTTGCTGGGTGCAACAATCAAGGATAGGAGCAAAAGACTAGTGGCCAAGAAAAGAGCCATGGGAATCATGGGAAGGAATCCAAATGGCAAAGTTAGCCAAGGAACACAAATGTGTTTGATGCTAACGGATTGCGGAAAAGGAAGTGGACTTCCAAGGATAGATTCCCAAGTGCTCCAATTTGGCGAAGTAAAAGCTCCAAGTGAGGAGCAACAAAGTAGCCAAAAAATAAGGCCGTGGACAGCCCTAGCACAAATAATGATAAATGGAATGTAATGCCAATGGTGGCACAAAAATAGAAAAGAGGATGAGGGTGCCCTCGAGTAGAGAACTTCCTAGAAGGGGAAGTGGAGTTGCACAAAATATGCAAGGCAAGGTGTTGGAAACACCTAGGAAATTGACTTCAAGAAGTCAAAAGTAAACGTTCCAAAGTGCAAAGGTAGATCAATGGAATCTATGACTACTCAAGAATGAGTAGTGGAATTGAGTTAAAGAAGGTGTCTCTAACGGGTTTAGCAAGAACTGAACCAATAAAAGGAGCAACCCACCCTAGGTGGTCAAGTGAATTTCTAAATTGGAGAGACTATCCTCCTTGGAGGATGGGCAAGGCATGGTGAGCCTTTGGTGTTAAACCATTGACAAATATGGAGAAGGCATGGTGAGCCTTCAATGTCAAACCATTGACAAATATTGGCTAGGTGCCAAGGATGGAAATGGAAACACATGCGGGTGTTACTTTATAAAATGGTTTACCGTTCGATGAGGACATCGAACTTCGTCTATGGGTGGTGGAGTTCTGAGACACAAAGTCCCTAGGCCCCGAAGTGGAGTCCGATATGGAGTCCGAAGTGGAGTCCGAGATGGAGTCCAATATGGAGTCCGAGATGGACCTGAAGTGGAGTCCAAGGTGGACCGAGACGGAGTCCGAGATGGACCCGAGATGGAGTCCGAGATGGAGTCCGAGATGGACCCGAGACGGAGTCCGAGATGGACCCGAGATGGAGTCCAAGATGGACACGAGATGGAGTCCGAGATGGACCCGAGATGGAGTCCGAGGTGGACCGAGACGGAGTCCGAGATGGACCCGAGATGGAGTCCGAGATGGACCGAGACGGAGTCCGAGATGGAGTCCGAGATGGACCGAGACGGAGCCCGAGATGGAGTCCGAGATGGAGTCCGAGAAGGACCCGAGATGGAGTCCGAGGTCGAGACCGAGACCGAGACCGAGACCGGGACCGAGACCGAGACCGAGGCCAAGGCTGAGACCGAGCCCGAGCCCGAGTTCGAGTCCGAGTCCGAGTCCGAGTTCGAGTCTAAGAGGGTGAAAGCCCAAAGCGTTCGTCTCCTAGACCCTGGGGGGTTTGGTGAGCTCCAAAAGTATAGTAAGGGGTAGGACTGCAGTGGAGCCAGTTTGGCCAAGAAAGGCCAGTTTGGCCCAGGAAGGCCAGACCTAGTGTTGGGTGATGAACTGACCACTAGGAAATCCAAGACTAGAGTGAATACGGACCGACAAGCGGGGTAGCTTGGTGAAGTGTTCAAGAGCCGGCTCTAGTTCCCCCGGGAGATCAACTGGCCGATGCTCCCAGTCCAAGTGTGGGTGGCACTACCTACTTGGATATCAGGCATGGCTCAACGGAACCTTGCTCTAAGCCTATGGCTAGAGCACCTAAAGGCGAAAGGTGGGGAGAGTACCCAGGTGGCTCGTGTAAGGCCACGGTGTTCCGAAATGTTGTCCCAAAAGCCCAGACTGTGGAAAGGAAGAGGAGCAGTCCTCTGAGGTAGTGACCAAGGACACAGTTGTGTGGTGAGGAAGTCCCAGAGGACCGTGGGACTTAGTGGTCAGGCTTGTGGGCCTGGATCAAGTGGCAGTGTTGGCGCACATAGCCATGGACAGAAAAGGGACTTGGTAGGAACTGACAAAAGGACTTTGGGGAAGGCTATTCCCCAGGTCTGTGGGTATCCTAAGGATGCTAAGGAGTGGGTCTAAGATGACCACTCGTGGACGGATAGCCCAGTCTTGGAGAGACGGGATTGTGATGCAAGTGGTATTGGACCACTAGTGCGGCCAAGGTGAATGGGCATGGCCTTAGCGTAACGGGCCGATATGTCACTGGTACCTTTGGGTGTCGGTCTTGGGACCAGACACGTGGAGCACTTGGAACAGGTGCAAGTGTTGAGTGGCATGGATGCCATTCTTGGGGATAGCAAGTCCCAAGTCCTGAATTGGACTTATGGAGGTTGTGAATGAGACTCCTCCAAGTGGTCAGAGGTGTGGTTAAGTGACTAAAGTAGAATGGAAAAATTAGTCACTTACTGATTCATCAGTCGGAAATAACCTGTGTTTCTTCTTTCCGAACAGGTTTACCTCGAAACTGACTGTCAGACCGCTACTCACTTGTGCATATTCCCACTTTCCAACTGGTCAGAACCTCCTATCCCCGCTAGTGAGAGAGCTTGTACTGTTAGATTGTGACTCAGGAGTACCGTAAGTTCCTCACTTCTCTTTCCCGCTTTTCCTTGTCGAGGTTTCTAACTCTTGGTTGCGAACATCTACAGTTTCCTGCTGCCACACGATGGAGTTTGTAAAGGGACTCTGCAACAATGCCGTGCATCGATTAACAAACAGAAACCATTGACCTTTCTCTCCTTTGTTCAGATCGATTCTCCATTAACAGGTACCATGCTTGTAGAGGATGTTGTATCATCCGACAAAAAAAGGGCCTTCTTTCGATGCCTGTTCTTTAAATGTAATCCCAACCTCATCCTGTCGGAGGCTTTACTAACGCCAACGAATAGATTTCGACGCGTGGGTAGTAAAAAGAAAAACAAACATGGCAAAGAAACTGCAGCACAGAGAAGACAAAGTACGTGGTCTAGAAACTTCTTGACTTTAATCAAAGTGTAACTTTATTTTTTCTTGTTCTTGTGTTTGTTCCAGACACCACGGATGAGATGAAGGTAGATCACAGTTACTTGGCCAGTCCGTATCACGAAGGGATGGTGGCAGGCCTACCTTTGATCGCTACTAAGATTGAGTCATGCGTATCTTCCAAAGAACAGGCATGGCAATCAAAGTGTTTGCTATTTTCTGCTTGTGACAAAGAATTAATCCTCAACTACTAGTACAGATTCGTGTGATGATCGTTGGGCTTGGTGCTGGATTGCTCCCAATGTTTCTGTACAAGCATTTTCCCTTCAACAGCATTGAGGTAAAGTGTTCTCTTTGTTTTTCGTTACATGACAAAAGTTTTTTGCTTGTTTAAGGTAGTGGAGCTGGATCCAGTTGTTGCTGATTTGGCAAAGCGTCACTTTGGATTTGTGGAAGACGATCGCATGCAGGCATGCAATTTTCCTTTTTCTTCTTAACCAATAATATATTCTCTTACAGCTGAGACTTGGAGATGGATTAGCCGCTGTCGATGCTATAGCAAAACTTGAGGTATGAGTTGAAAGATCAAACTTGAAAGAAGAAACTCTCAAATATTTCTTATTTCAGATGGAAGAACAAGCTAACAGCGAGAACACTAGACATAAATTGCACATACTACTCATTGACGCTGATTCCTCCGATCCAAGGTTCGGTTCTCTCTTTTCTGTTGATCTTTGTTGAAGTGATCAGATAACTCCGTTGCAGTAATGGGCTAAGCTGCCCTCCCGAGGAATTCCTTCTCGAAACATTCCTCCGCAATGCGAAAGCTGCTCTGGAACCCGAAGGAATCCTTGTCATAAACGTTGTTTCGCGGGCTCGTGAGCCTCACATACAAGCAGACCAGAGAATGTGTAAAGTAAGCTCGCTAGACTCTCGTTTCTGGTAGCAGTAAGAGCTTACAAGTTGTTCTTGCTTTGCAGATTTTTAGCGAAGTCTACAGCCTGCAAGTCGACGAAGACGTGAACCGGGTGGTGTTTGGATTGCCACAGCCGAGTAACCTGAGAGACTCCACCGCGATTTTTAACGCTGGAGTGCTGCTAAAGAAGGTCGCGGGCCAGTTTGGTTCGTGGGACAAAGGCCCCAACGTCAAGGACGTACTAAAGAAGATCAAGCGGATCAAGTGACTGAGAAGAAAAAGGTCACCTTGCCTCATTCTCTGGGGGTTTTTGCGCGAGTTTTCTCTAGAGAAACGCACTGTACAGATGTACCATCGCTATACTTTTTTTGCAAACAAAGAGTCCTAAACGATGATCCTTGGTGTGTCATCGTAATCAAAGGAAAGATGGTTTTTTGTTCTCCTGCCAACTGCATGAGAAGATTCATCGCGTGAATCTCTCAGAAAGCCACAGGAGAGATCGACAAGATTTAGTCTGTGCATTGTGTGAATGAGCGACACGCACTGGAAATTAAATCGCGTGTAGCCCCAGAAAAGATGCACGAAAAAGCGAGAAGAACGAAGAATCTCTCCTACATGAGATGAGATCTTTGTCCATAGAAGAAGAGATGAAAGAAATCCCAGGACATTGCGAAAGGAGATTAGCAATGTAGCATTAGCTGAACGGGCAAAGCGCACGCGATAGAATCTTCGCAGTGCCCCAGTACTAAATGCGCGAGAAAAAAAGAGAGAGAGAAGAGGGCGATGTGGCGTCCATCAGTCGAACAAGGCAGCGAACAACGAATCACTGACCCGTGCCATGGAAGCCGCGAGAAATCGTTGTGGCATCCGCGTATAAGCGAGCCGCGAAGAAAGAGCGGCGCCCTCAATGTTAAAGATGCAAGAACCCTAAAATTGTAAAGCCCTAAAATCGAGACTAGGGCACACACACAATGCGGCAAAGAGGAGCGATCGCCAGCGGCGAAGTCGTGACAGAGGTGGAGCTCGTCTTCCTCAGGCTGTCCGCGATCGATCTGTGCCAGGCCAGGTGCGTGTGCCGCGAATGGCGACGAGCAATTGACGATCGCATCTTCCGCAAAGGCTACGCTCTCTCCCACCGCTGCATCCCTCACCTCTTCCTTCGTCTCTCTGGATCCCTCCTCGTCAAGCCGCTCGACAGCTCCCCTCGCAGCGAGTGGCGCCACTTCCAGACGCTCCCCAACGACATGACCATCGCCAGCAGCGACGCGGGCTTGCTGTGCCTGGCCACGTTTGGGAACTGGTTGGCGCTATCCTCCATCTTCGTGTGGCGCTACAGCGATCTCAACTCCTCCCCGGTGAGAGTTCCTTTGCCGCCAGAGGCCGGCCCTGAGGTGCGCTTGACGGTGTACCGACGCGAGAGGGATCGATCGACGCGAGAGTTTTGCGTCGCTAGTTTCGGGCCATGGGGCGCCTTCTACATCTACGACTCGTCCTCGGGCGAGTGGTCCTTGCGCGAGAACAAACACTACCCAGTCACAGGGGACATGGAGAACGGGGATGGTTTCTATCCGATGCTGGATCACGGGGAGGTGGTGATGGTTGGCAGGGATGCCTTCGTGAGATACAACTTGTGGGATGATTCCTGGCGCATTCTCGAGCTTGATTCCGACGAGTTGATGTTCCAATGGAGGTGGTCCTTTCTTCAGCTGGATCGGGATCGGCTGTTCGTGGTTAGTAATGAGTTGGAGGCGGAAGATCACGAGGGGCTGGTTGTCGTAGAGAGGCGGGGAGAGAAGTGGGAGATTGTTTCGAGCCGTGATGAGGAGTTTGATGATTTGGAGGTGCGCACTGTTTGCACTGATGGGAGCAACAGTATATGGCTGCTTGACAGGGATAACTCACGGATTGTGCACTTTGGAGTCGATTCCAAGAGCTGGTCAGTGGAAGAGGCGCCCAAGGCTGTGCCAGGATTCGTGGACTTTGCTTGGTTGTCTTGTTAGTGCTGAAAATCGGGAGTTCTTTCTTGAAGAAGATCCAGGGCTCTGCTGTGAGCTAATGCTGTGATGATCGGCATCGTTGTTAGAATGGTGGTGAATGAACAACAAGGTGGTAAATCGCTACTTTGCGAAAAGCCAGATTGAGCATGTTTGTTGCAAAAGCTCTTGGGGAAAATCGTTGTGGCATCCGCGAAGAAAGAGCGGTGCCTCAGTGTTAAGATTCAAGAACCCTAAAATCAAAAGACAAGAAACTTAAATAACAACTTTATTTGATATTAAGATAACATCGCTTTATCACGAGAAACTTCACTCACTTCCTGCTACAACACTGGAGGAATCCATTGTTGTTCTGCACACACTTGTTAATCAGTACTGAGGTATAACGATACTGGCCATTGCCATAGCACTGCGCATTGATGGAAGCAGGACCTGGAGCTGGAGGATGGTACCACGGGGTGATCACTACATTCTGGCACGAGGCAACAAAGTTTCTGCCACAGTTGAGGGTGCCTCCATTGTTGCTGAAGCAATCGTTAAGATTAATGCTGCTCCTTTGGAGCTGGCCATTGGGCTTGTAACATTTGGCAGTCAATGTTGTGCCGCTTATAACCTCCGAGTTCTTGTCACAGCTATCCTCAAAGTTGCATGCCTGCATCAAAACCAGATTGAGTCTGATTAGCTATAGTTCTAGTATGGGCATTTGCAACAAACTAATAGCTTACAGCGTTGCTTGTCCCTGCAAGCGCTACAAGAGCAAAGACTAAGCAGATAATAAACTGCGAAGGCATGATACAATGCGAGTTGTAGAGATTGTGGGTTGTGATCCCACTGTTGGACTTTTATACTGGCAAATGAGAAATTCGCTCAACTAGATTTTCCTTAAGGAAAAGAGGGTGGATGGTTCACGTCTATAATTTTTCACCAATCCTTCAAAATAATATCTAATGAATAAATGTTGCTATTTAATAAACGAGATACGTTTATGAACTGAGAAATAACTCGTCCTCATTACCTAGACAATTACTCCATGCCTGTACTCTAGATTCAGCCAAGCCAGGTTTATGGTAAAAATAAATATTCAATAAGAATGTTCAGTATTAAGGCTCAAGGCTATATATGACCTGTTAATTAGATCAATGTTAAGTAAAGCATTAAACTCACAGCTGGTGACTTTGATGGAGAGGTTGCTGTGGATGAGGCCTGGGGGGAGTAAAACTTCAAAGGTCCATAGATAATTAGAGTATGTTGTTAAGGTTTGGACAGGTCAAAAGAGTGTTCAGGCGTTTGGGAAAGTATGCTTGCATCACCTTAGCCGAAAGTCACGTAATCGGTATGTGGAAGAATTAGCCGTGTGTTTCGTTTTTCAAAGATCACGTTGTGTTTTATAGGATTGCTATTATCAACGTTTCGACATGGTTGGCAAGTAGCTGTCTACCAGGTGCCGATTGCTCAGGCTTCGTCCAAGCTGAAGCCGCTGTTATTTGCTGCCACGAAAGAGACGACAAGCGATCTCTCCTTGATCTCTTATGATCTTTCGTCCGATCTCCATGTGAGTTTTTTTCTGAGTTTTTCTCTTATGAAAAGACCAACACCAATGTTTCCAGCCGCAAAACATCGCAGCAATAAAGAAGGAAAATGCAAGAGGACCAGAGTTTCGTGACTTTGAAAAGCTCCAACCCTCTTGGAGATCTGTTCTCACTCTGGGAGGAACATTCAAAGCAATAGTTCTCGACGCCAAGATTGGATAGGCAGTCATGCCTAATGCGTGCACTGTGTTTTTGGTGCCAAAGGTACGTTCGATTTCATTTCGAAAGCCTCCAAGGTCTTGATACTTTTGCGACAGGCCAAGGCTCACGAGTGGCTCTATTCATCCAAGGAAGGACAATGGCAAGTGGTCAAAAGTGCCAAGGCCACTCAGCTTATCATGGTAAGACTTGCTGACTATAAAACTTGCATCGATTCATCTGTTGGAAATAACCTGTGTTTCTTCTTTTCGGACAGGTTTACTTCGAAACTGACTGTCAGACTGTCAAGGGCCAGAGCCAACTCAAGAATAAGACTTGGTCAAAGTCGGGGGTTTTATCCTTTATAGTGGGGGAATAAGGGAATATTTGGCTGGAAATGGGTGCATCCCTTGGTGCCAAAGGTTGAAAACAGGGGGGATAGCCAATTTCCAGGCATAGCATGTGTGTAGAAGTGAAGGGAGTGAAAAAAAAGAGAAGGTTCTTGGAAGGATACCTCGTTTGGAGTGCATGGAGCGGAGGTTGGCGGTGCAGTGGCGACTACGGTTGTTTGAGGAGTGCATCACAGTGAGAATCACTCAAGATCAACCAATCTGTGTGAGTTGTTCAACTTGTGGATGTAAGCAGAGGTTTTAGCAAAGGTCGCCGACGAGGCTAAAGATGAGGCTAGGCAATAGTGATTCTCCACGTCACTAGTGTGTCATCACGAGGAGCAACATCTTTTGGTGCACTACCTGAGAAGCGAAGCGAGCATGGAGATTGTGGTAGAAGGGTGAGCGCCAGGAGAATCTGGGCTGCCCTCACCAAATCAAGGCTATTCATTCTTGGTGTATGAGCCAAAGAAGTCAAGAGTACTTAGCGAGACTTGTAGAAGCACAAGAGTGAGAGGAAAGATGAGCGAAGCAAAGACGTGAGAGAGAG